GTGCACGTTATTTATTTTGCGATGTACGTAATTGCATTGGCGAACGTATTAGGGAGAGTAGATTGAAATAGGAAAGTTATACAAACACCGGTTTTGAGAGAGAATGAAAAAGACAATGGGTTTGCCTCCATTTTTCAGATTCCATCTAGCTTGAATGTTGATCAAACGTCGATTCACGTGACAACACGATCTATTTTAAAAACGAAGAGTTACAACAGCCGGCACGGCGCGGCGGTACAGGAGTTCCTGCTCTCTCGTGTAAATACAAACGAGTTTCGTCTGCGCGCGCGGATTAACAGGCGCTCACGCAATATTTATACTTCATTCTATTTATTGCGCTTCGCGAGTATTTACACATAAATACCGATGTTTCGGTGTATCGCAATCGTGTCAATATTGTACCGATAGCGTGGCGAGCATCGCGACGCGACGCGACGCGCGGCACGAGTCGCAATATCGCTCAGACCCGACATCCATCCGGCGTAATTAAATGTCGAGTAATGATTGACGAGCCCCGTTGCTCTCGCCGTTTGCTGTTTCAACGTAGCCAAACGCCACGACTGCAACCGCCATACGGACCATGCTCCAGTTGAAAGCTGCATTTCCCTGCCCCTCCGGAAAAACCGACCGGGCAGAGAGGATAGGCGAAATCGGACCGAAATCGTCTTTCATCGAACGTCCCCACGAATTAAGCGGTGCGACCCGAAAGGAAGCTAATTTGTTTACGTCGCAGACAGTTTCACGTCCAATTAGCTTCGGCCAGTCACTTACTGAGTCGGAAAGCGTCGCGACGCGTCCTGTCTGGTTCCGTTTTGTCCTGTCCCGTCTCGTATCGGATGACTCAACGTGTCTCGGACGCTGACCGAAATATTAATCGCAGACCACGGATAGATTTGCAAAACGTCAAACCGAAAAAAATTAAAAATATCTGTCTGTGCGTCGTGGATGTAACGTAGCGGTTAATGTAGTCCCTCGACCCAGTCTGCGTTTGGTTCACGTGGTCACCAGTGTCAGAGGAATTCGAATTGTTATCGTTTGCCTGAACGTTAACAGGCAGAATAATCAATATTTGCCGATATAACCGAAATTCACCGGCCGGCTTCCGCTAGATGGTTATGATGTTGATTTAGTATGTACGATATTGCCAAGCAAATAAGCTACGTGGATATTCCATTGCTCTTTCGCTTCCTATTTATGCGATTGTCGTTGGGTTATAATTTCACGTTTGTCTCTTGTTGCTTATTACAACCGCGTAGCTTTGAAGATAAAAGCAGAAATTTTCTTTGAAGGAATGGCTAAAGAATAAAGTATAGTGCGAAAAGCTGTCCTCTTCTTGTTTTACTCCACAGAGGCGAGGAATGACATTAAAAAAGCAAAATATCTCAAAGGCGTGCGATCAAACTTGGGAATCGATTACTACATAGTGTAAATATGTCCAAACGCTTTGACACTTTGCAAACAAAATGGAAACAGCGAAGTAAGATCGTGAAGGGATATCCTGTAACTTCAAAAAATAGCATACTTTGAAAACAGCAAGAAATGCAAGCACGTCAATCTTTTATATTAATAATTATCGTTCGGGTCATAACCGGTATAGTGTTAGTATAGGGGATTGGGAAATTACATTACTTTATAAAAACGACGTTAAAACGAGGTTTGAAACAAGTTTCAATGATAGTATTTCGCACGACACGGCAGGCAGCCACCGATAATGAAGTTTCAGCCTGTCGCCGGCCGTTGCGCAGCATGAAAATTTCAATGAAACTCTTTCTTCGAAATGGCTATTAGCAACGGCTCAGCGCGATGTATCCGTGTAATGTATCGATTAGCATCTCTCTTTGTACTTTTCTTCTTAGCTTTGAGCCGCCCGTTTTACCTTAAACGTTCCACCACTACAATAGCCGAGTACATTAATAGAAGCGATTAATAGAAGCGACACTGAAATAAAGTCGTATCAGGGTCGATATTGATTTTCCTGATTGAAACGTATTTCTGCTCTGATATTGATAAACGTGCTTCGAGCAACGTTTCGGAAAACTTCAGTAGCTATAATAAACTTTCATTAATACCTTCGTTAAGGTCATCGCCTTTTGCACTCTACTCTTGCAAGCGAGTGAATTGTTCAAAGAAATTTATCGAACAGAAAGAATTGTAGAATATTATTTTATCAAACCGCTCGATGTAACGTGGAGTGAGTTATCTCACGGAACGGAAGTAGAAACATTCCGAGTGCCTTTTGAATAATTGGAAAGGCTCGATCGGCTGCTGCATAGAGATCGGTTGACGGATACCGTTCTCCGGAGTGATGGTAGGTACGTAGGTAGGTAGCTAGGTTACAAGCAGAAAGGCAATTTGGCAGGGCAGCGCAGACCAGAGCGGGACATGCATACGTCTCGTGAAAGAAACATCGTCGACGCCGACGCTCTAATGGCCGGCAGAGGTAAATTGCAACTACATAGGAGGCAAGTAAAGCCGGAATAAACCGCGTAAAGATTTATGAGTGAGCCGTGAAAAGAGGAGATTGCTGATCCGTCGTCATCGCGAGGTCGGCACGGCGCGGCACCGCGATTTCATTTATCCGCTCACGAGTTCAAGTGATTGTTTTCCAAATGTCCGTTTCGAGCCACGACACGCCTGGTTGGAATTTGATAATTGACTTTCGGTTCTAGCTCTTCCTTCTCGAAAGTATTAATTAGTGATTTCCGTATAAATTCTAATAGTCGGGAATAGGTCGGGATGAAGATTTATGATCGTTAACAAGTCTTATTGTCGGAGGAAGATCGGGAATAGGATATCGCTTGAGCGTCGTAGAGGAAAGTCCCTCTTCCTTCTTAATTTATCGACTTTCGTCGACGCTCTCATTAATTATTTTCTCGGATAAATGTCAAAGGATGTCGAAGTTGTTCCCGACCCGGGAAGGCCGGTAATCCCTGTGGAAATATTTTTTCGACCGTTTTCCCATCGGGACGTGAACGGGGAAACGGAAGAACGTGTTTTAATAATATTTGATGTTTGAACACGGAAAAGTACAATCTTTTTACCTCTGTGACTCGAGAGAAATTTGAACGAAGTGAAACCAACCCCGCCTATGGTGAAACAAACGTTCGCGACGATAGCGAAACAAATGGAAATTATTTATATGTTATTACCAATTTAGGAATCATATAAATTTAAAATAATCAATTATAAAGTATATGTGTAGATGAAAGCCAGTTTGAAAAAGGAAAAATTTTCCCCTTAATGAATTTAGTTTTGAGTAAAATATTCGTCAATTAGAGATACTTCTCAATCGATAATATACATACGTACACTACATGTGTAGAAGGATATTTCCATTGTTCGAACGTAATTTAATTTCATCGTCCCTATCACAATTTTCGGTGAGATAACGCAACGATACTTGCGAACGTGCTGTCAGGCTAATGAACGAGAAATGTGAAAAGGGAACAAAAAGGCAAAGAAAAAGGACTAACCGTTTTCTTGTAGCAGTAATGATAATGATGATGATAATGATAACATGATAATNTTATTACCAATTTAGGAATCATATAAATTTAAAATAATCAATTATAAAGTATATGTGTAGATGAAAGCCAGTTTGAAAAAGGAAAAATTTTCCCCTTAATGAATTTAGTTTTGAGTAAAATATTCGTCAATTAGAGATACTTCTCAATCGATAATATACATACGTACACTACATGTGTAGAAGGATATTTCCATTGTTCGAACGTAATTTAATTTCATCGTCCCTATCACAATTTTCGGTGAGATAACGCAACGATACTTGCGAACGTGCTGTCAGGCTAATGAACGAGAAATGTGAAAAGGGAACAAAAAGGCAAAGAAAAAGGACTAACCGTTTTCTTGTAGCAGTAATGATAATGATGATGATAATGATAACATGATAATAATAATAATTATGACTCCTCGGTATCATTTGTATCATTAGTGTCATTTATTCGTTTCCTTTTTTTTATTTCTTGCTTCTCTTATCTTTCCTTTCTTTTTTCATCTTTTTACTCCTTTGGCTAACCACAGTTATTTATCGAAACGTAAGGAGTCACCGGAAATTTGATCGTAAATCTAGGCGTCGATAAAACGGTATTTCAACCGATTCCTTTGAAATCAAAATCGCAAACATTTCGTTTAGCGAACCAGTACGGTTCGGTTTCGCACACATTTCCTTCGCCTTTTTTCTCTTTGCGCTCTTTTTTCCTCGACTCTTTTCGTGCAATGATTTCGAGGATTGAAAGACGGCCTAACGACTAGAAGGCAGGCGACAGTTTTTGATATTCGTTCCGTAAAGAGCACCCAACCTATCGACCTGTGTCTTGTTTTTTCGTTTCACGACCTTTTGCTGCCAAAGTTCTGGGCCAACTTCTATGTCAGTTGTTAACTTTTTACATCAAACGACGAGACGTTGTCCTAAAAATTATTCTATCTCTCTGTTTTATAAATTATTCTTATGTTTGTCAAAGTAAGATTGAAGATCGAAAGATTACAGTTCTCCACTTCACTTATAGTTTCTATAGTATACGATTTCACGTCCAACGATCAGTTACAAAATGAAAAAGATCTCAGGATCGCAGGAAATAATACTTGTAAAAAACGGTTCGTGGAATCGATAGGTAAATGGTAACGCTAGGAATAATAAAATTGGACTAGAGAGAACTTTGTCAATAGATGCGCGTTCCAGTAGAAATCCGCTTTTTACTATCCCTGCACTTTTTTTTTGTTTACCCTCTTCTCCCTCTCTCTCTCCCTCTCTCTCCCGCTTTTTTTACAGCTTGTCCCTGGTATAAAGGTTTCATTTAACCGAGAAAGTTTCACCGATAAAACCGACGCTCGGGATGAGAATCCTCTTCGGAGGATTCTGTTTATACGTTTATGTCGAACGTGACTGTTTGTTCCGATGGGAGTGATGTAGGGTGGCTAGGGGAGGTACAACACTATATTTGCACGAGCGACCGGGCTGAATCAATTTCTGCTTTTGGTTTCAGTGCCCCTGTACGATGGCGAGCAATTAAACTTGACGAGGATCACGCGCAATGAAATGGGCGCGTATCTCTGCATCGCGACCAATGGCGTGCCGCCAACAGTCAGCAAGAGAATCACCGTCGACGTCGAATGTGAGTGGATTTCAAGATATACCGATCTACCTACGTACCTTCCGACCTACCTATTTCTGTACCTCTGCCTGATGTATGTATTATCATTTCGCGAGCGTTCATTGCCTGAGCCGTATCCGAGCCTTCTATCCTTTATCTCTATATGCATATCTGCGTCAGCCACGCTAGACATTTCTACGTATTTTCAGAAAAATTAATGCGTCTGCTTATCTCTGTGTCTATATACAGAGCAGTACGAGAAATATGAAAATAACCGGTAATCGTCACTGAAACTAACAAATGAATTGTCTACCTTTGTGGTTTATCTAGTAGAGAAAGGTTGATCTACTTTGAATCCCAAAAATATACATGTATATATGTATACATATGTCCGAAAAATTATTCAAGAGCATTTTTTCACACGCAAAAAGAAGTAGGTAATTGAATAGAGTAAGTTGGTTGTCAGGCAATAGTTTAACCTCATCTAGTTCTCCTAAGGAAATTTCGACACGAAACTGCCAAAGAGGAAAGTTGCAAAGGAGGAAAAATGGCGATGTCTGGAGGTGGTATAGTTTAAATTTCATTTTAGGAATTGCGCCGGTCGGCGTCAGTGTCGGTGTCGGGTACCTGACGAGGCAGAAGGAAAGCAAAGGAAAGGAAAGGGTAGATGCGCTCGGTGCCGTTTGGAAAGCCCGAGGGAAATACCGGGCAGGTCGACAGGAGCGTCCCGTCGCTCCTGGTCATTTTTCCCTTTTATACGTTCCATTCGTTTGTGTCACTTGGTGCCGGGTTGATTCTGGTTGGTGTGCGTGTACGCGGCGAAACAGAAAGAATGAGTGAGAGAGAGAGAGAGACGGAAGGGAGACATAGAGGGATGGAGAAGGGGAGGGGAGAGAGGACCAGAACGAGAGAGACCAGACCGACGCTGTCCTTTGAATATTTAGAAGGGCGCGGAGATATTTTATTTAGAACGCGACGCGGCGCGGCCCAGCGCGAAAATACCAGGATTCCACTCTCCGCTCACGAATACTACCTGCTTCTGCCTGACGCCGCGCTACGCGTTTCAATCATTTTTACTTCCGTTTTCCCCATGCGCTCCGTCCCGACCTCTATCTATTTTTTTATGCCGCAATTAGAGGTAGATAGATCTGCGTTTCCACGATTTTTGTAAATAGATGTGAGCGTGCACTGTATTTAGAATCGCTCTCGGAAAAACTTTTCCTTTTTATCTTAGCCATATCGATGAGATGTAGGTTCCGTTTACGCACGTACACTAGTTGCAACGCTACTTGTGTGTAGTTATTTGACCGCATGTCGCGATAAGGGAAGGAAAGTAGCTGGCTCTTCGTTTGACCGCTTACGACTTACGCCAAGGAGACGTATTATATTCAAACGTACGGGATAATCTCAGTTTCTACTACGACCTTTCTGCTTCTCTTGGATATTCATCGACAAAAATGTCAACTTTGATTCTTCATCCTCTTTGAATGGATTCGTTGATTGCCGTTCGATTCAACTCGCCGCCGTTGTTCCTATTTCGTTATGTAAATCGTTTTCTTTGAAACGATGGCGAACGCGAAAATCGAAATTATTCCTCGCGAGTCGAACGAGCTTCCGCGGTTGAAAATAATCATTTCGATAGGGGAACGATAGAAGGCCAGCGGTTCCGCAAAGAATAGGCTTTTTTGCGACGAGTGAAAAATGAGGGGTGAAACGGTTATCTGGGATTACCGGGGAGGAACCGCGAAAAAAGATATTCGATCAACGCGCGGGATCCAAGGCTGTCCTTGCTGGATTACATGAGTCCCGCGATCCGATCGGTTCGCTTAATGCTCTTGGAAGCCTCCTGGGAAGCATTATACAAATTCTAACCAGCCTCATGGACAGACTCGAGTGACAGAATGAACGATTCGCGTCTCCTCCCTTTCGCCATTTTCCTTCCCTGCGACTGGCGTTTTCCTAGATATTATTAAACAGAGAAGTAATACAGTTGAAAGGAATTCTAATAATTAGAGGATAACATTTATGTAGAAAACAGCAGAAGATTGAATTAAAAAATTCCAGTGATTCATCATTAGAGCGCATTCTTTAAGTTCATTTCTGTGAGAGTGCTAAAAAAGGAGAGACCGTAAGATCGCCGCACTCCGTCACGGTATAGAGGATAGAAGCAGATAGAGTCGATTCGTCGGTAGATCGAGAGAAGTATGCGTTAATTAGGGTCAGCGCTGGCAATTTGTGGATTTGTGGCGAGCTTGATGCATACCGGCGATGCTCCGACCTCGAGAGAGATCGTTCCCGTGCTCGCGATGCTCATTGTCAGTGTTATTCGTCTACGGTTAACCGCGCTCGCACTTATTCACCACAGTTTTGTTCTTGCTCTTCGGTCCTATGCACGAATCCGTACCCGTGGACTCGCCCACGTTTCGTGCGATAAATTGCGAACGACCTCTGACATACTCGTTAAATCATTCGATTAACCGTAACGTCTGTCTCTGGTGAACGAGAATATCGAATTTTCTCAGAGACCCGACGCGGTACGGCGCGTGGCGCACGCCGATGACGTGAAAGTCCGAGATTAGTCTCTAAACTAGCTTGCCGTCGGTTCTAATCGAGTTCCCAGCCAGGTTCGACCAAATAATTTGTGCAAACGTACTGAATTCGGCTGCGTCAAGTACCCCCGGCAAAAGTCGTTCCTTCAGTTATCTTTAGCTCTTTCCGATTTTATCAAAAAGATCACTCGTTTCGACGTTTCGAAGGCACGCTTCCTAATCTTGGGTAGCCGCTCGTGAAAACTTTCTCTCCGGGTTCCTCGTTTATTCCGGTCGAACTAAATTGGTCAAGACGCGGTTATTTTCCAAGCAACGCTATCTGTGCCTGATGGTATTTATACATTTGATCAATTTCAAGAAAACAAAGAAAAACGGGAGACAGCGATAGCGGAATAGGAATACGTCGTCCTTTCGCGATGGTTAAAAAGAAAACTAGATTTTAGCGAGGATGAAGGAAAGTTTTTCATCTGGCTCTGTTTGTACTCCACGAGACGGACGCGGACAGGCGAAAACTGGCGGGTCTTACGAGTCGGGAAATTGTTCCGAAGCAACTCTATTTCCCAGCACGGGAACACGAGAAAAGAGAAACGAAAAGATGCTACGATTATGTTAAACAACGCGTCTCATCTCTGTTCTCGTGTTTTCATTTATTCAATCGGGATGTGGATAGAATCGAGTTTCTTGCTCTCTTCGTTTGTCATTAAAATCGATTGATGTACAGGGTATCCATATTAATTCCAATTGATATTACTATTACTATTGCAACAAATTTTTTAAAATGATGGTCGTGAAATGAGAACTTTGTAAGATTGATATCTATATTTTTGGCAACGGCTCCTGAAATTAATTCATTAATGACATTTATAATAGACAACATATACATACATACATGAATACATAATTATCTTCATTAACTTCATAAATAATCATCGTCCTATTCAATGCATGTCAAATTGCAACTGATCGTTGCAAAACTTAATTCAACACTGTCAACCACCTATTCTTCCAAGTGATTAGCATAATTCGTAGTCAGCGATTCAGTTGCTGATAAATTATAGAATGCCTGGGGCAAATGCATACATACATGTACAATAGTCCCTCTAAATATCCGCGATGCGACGTTCTAACTTCTAACGTCACCGTGAACGATCATTCATTCCAAAGTTTCGGCTCGTATAACCGATATCCCTTCCCCGTTTAATGTTAAAGTCTCGCCGTTGATCATGGTGCCGAATCAGCTAGTTGGTGCACCAGCTGGTACCAACGCAACGATCGACTGCCACACCGAGGCACATCCACGGGCGATGAGCTACTGGTTTCTCAAGGACGAGATGATACTGTCCAACGAGAAGTACACCACGAGCATCATGGAAAACAGCTATAGAACACACATGAGACTCACTATAAAGAATCTACAAGCCGACGACTTTGGAAATTATCGTTGCATCAGCAAGAACTCTTTAGGCGAAACCGAGGGTTCCATCAGATTGTATGGTAAGACGGCCAATCACTCCAGTACTTAAGGTAGTTGTTGTCTTATTATTATACTAGTCAAGATAAAGCTTAAAGATAAACAGCTACAAATACAAGACTTCTCCTGTAGTAAAATCTGTATATTAAAAAGATGAACTTCAATTTTTATATTATGCCATGAAATGAAAACGTCAGCAGTTTAAAAACAAATTATACACTCGTAAGGTTTAGTTAGTTGGAGTTGAACGTTGCCGAACCTATCAAGTTTCTCATAATTGGCATGAAAAATGAGAGAACGATGAGAAAGGCGCTTATTGTTACAGCTAAAAATAAAAAGGATGGTAATGGTATTCTTTTCCAACGAGCGATATCGTTATTCAGTCAATTGTTTTATAGTTGACGCTTTCTCGAGTCTCCAGAATAGACTGTTTATTAATATTTATAGATAAGCAATTGGCTGGGAATAATAAATGTAAGGATTCCAGTCGGCACATTAAATCTTAGCGGGCTACAGATTAATTGTGGCTGGTCTAAATTAAGCTGAGCGTTTTGAAGTTTAGGATATAATTTAGATCCTGTCGAATGTATAATTCGGTAGCAGATCAATATTACAAATAAAATACACTTTTATCGGGTTATTAATGATAGCCAATTTTAATTTCAGAAATTCCAAAACCGTCCGCGGCGCCAAAGGCCACGGAGATTAAAAGCAGCGCCAATAAAGAAGGTGAGAGAGCTTATTTTATATATCTGTATCGCGTATTGAGTTCAGAAATCGACATCACCTAGTAAATAGGCCCGCTTCGAGTTCCCCTCTTTTGTCAGACTCACACTTACCGAATTCATTATCAATTCGACCCTTCACGGGAATAAACAGTAGGCACTCTTAATTTTGGTTCTCAGTAATATGCTTGTTAATTAAATTACGGAATCGATATATTGATTGGTTTCGTAACATAAACGTTAAAAAATGCAGTGGCTAGTTGAGAAATAAAAAGGAGGAAGGAAGGAAAACAAGTGAGATAAATAAGGAAGTAAAAGACCGGTGTGGCAATCACGTACGTTGAAAACGCGATCTTGGAGAAGGTAACGGGTCGAGCTCTCGAATGTAATCTTTGCATTAGCTGGGCCAGCGTTGTGTGCACATTGGCGGATGTATTATTAAAGCGGGCGCGAATAACTTGGGCGGATGCCTAGGTCAGGTCCCTATGGCTCTGGCCCGTTCCCGTGTTCTCGCAACGAAACCAATCTCAATATGCTGCATTATTAACGCCATACAAGCCTCGGCCACGACGGTATTACCGCCATTAAGCTTCGCGATTTTACCTACTGGCCTTACCTGCTCGAGAATCCGTGGATTATTGTTAGATTGCTGACGTTCACCCCCATTCCACGTTATACGAATTTTCACTTGAGACACGATCTTTTCTCTCCCATTTTCGAAGTTACCCCCCTACATTCCCAGAGCTAATCTGAACTCAGCCTATAGAAAGAGCTTGTATAACGAGTGTATGTAAGACGAGTAACATATAATTAAAAGAAAGAAGGGAAGTTTGATTAAACAGAAATGAACGGCATTGCTCTCAAAAGTTGAGTCCCGCGCGTTTTGAATCACTGGGGGCAAGCGAAGCACGACTGTCGCAGGATTTTATCGTAATATACGAGGCGGATGATTGACTGCGATGCAGAAGAGGAAAGTTTCCACGGAAATCAGGCGATGGTACCTGTTCGTCGCCTTCCGTAGCTCGAAATCAATCTTAATGTGTATTAGCGAATTATTAATGACCCGGCCGCGGTGCACGGTGCCACGCCGCAAGGGGCAATAATTCACGGACGGGACGGAATGGGATGGGATGTTAAGCGGCACCGAATAGTTTCCAATGGGACCGCTTTCAATCCTTATCTGGCCAGATAAGACTCGGACCGGAAGCGGAGTCCTTCGAGTGGGACGTATCGATCGACGCCCTCACCCTCGTCACGTTTAGTTTCCTTTCGTTCGCCAGCAAACTCACGATCCACTTTCCGAATTCGAATTAATATAACGAATCGCCAATAGCTTGTACGATAAGAATATAAACTTCGATATACCGAGAACTTCCGTTTCTGATTGACTAATTGAATAATCTAAAATTGCAAGACTGGCGCAAACGGTCTTACACGTATAAATATGTAATGTTATTTATTCTGGAAGCCAATGACATGACAGTCCTGTTTGGAGAATGTGACGCAATCGTGACTGTCCGCGAATATACCAGCGGAAGGTTTTAATTTTATATCGAAACGTTACATTGGCGAGGTTCAGCCTGTGACCTAATTAAACGCATTTAAAATTCAATTAACGCTGCCCTCGCGAAACCATGCGAGTCCAGATTGTAGAAGATACGGGCAAAGAATCGTGAAATCGGTTTTTCCATGCTACTCGAAAGAAGCATTTGCCTAATTGCGTATACAGTATAGCGATGACAATTATTGTAAATATAAACGAGTCTCGTATATTTTAGCAAGTATTTATAGATTATAGAGTATGCTTAATGTTAGTCTAGTTTAGAACTATTACACAAGTGGGAGTAAATGATGCAATATTTTAGGAGCTATAGAAACTTGAAACGTGTCCCTCCCCGTAGATTGCCTTAAGGTAACTGTAGCTTGTTCTGATCCAATTGTCGTTAAGTTAGTGAGAGTTTAGAAATGCACTGGCTCTAAGGATTTAAACTATAGATACAAGACGACGCAGATATACGACGTGAAATCTTTATTACAAAGTCTACTGTAGTAAAGTTGAACTAAGCAAGGAAACTGCTCTAAGGCTAGTCCATTATTTATAACTCGTTAAACATGTTTCTAGATCTTTCTCTCAAAAAGCGAACTTTAATACAATAGGGGGGTAAAAATAATTTCTCTTCCTCTATCTCTCTCTCTCTCTTTCTTTCCCTTTATACTTCTCCTCCGTTTATCTCGGCAGAAAGGACGATTCTCGACGAAGGACTTGGGATTAGTCCCGCGTGATTACACAATACTTAATAACGACTCGATACAGTACACTAGTCGCCTCCCGGGACACCCATCGATCCTGACGGTCGTAATTAATTATTACCGAGCAGCAAGGAAGCCGGAATTATTCCTGGCATTAGCTTCTGCCTTGTGGAACCGCACCGTTCTATCCCACAGACCACGATCTTTCGCCTTGGAAACATCGTTTATCGGACTATCGATTCTACAATGTCTAAAATGAATGATTGATTATATAATGAATGAATCCATCTTTCGTTCAAAAACGGTATCGCATATTTTCTTCTATGAGACCAACGTACATTGGCTAGAAACTAGAAAATTAGAGTTTGTTCCACTCCAAAAATGGATTCCTAATTTTGTAGATGAATCACTTCATTTCGTCGAATTATTATTAGTCCTCGTTGGCAAATCGCGTTTACATACTCTGGCTAAATACATTATTCGGAACAGAATCTTTCCCCATTTGTAATCAATTTATCTACTTTATACGTGGCCAAGAATTTACCTGCGGTTTGTCTGCTCTCGTGCGTAGCGTGGAACGAGGGAACGAAATTAATCTCGAATTGACGCGGCGGCTGCGCGCTTTAATTCAGCCTTGAGATTGTTTAATAGATGGATGATCGCACGCGAAGAGCCACGGTTCGTACAAGAAACCGAGGAGGAACATTGACTGTTCTATTTCTCGGGCGCGGTCGCGGCCGCGGCGGAACTTTTCCATTTAAGAGGCTGCTCAAAGGCAGGAAACGGATGGGGGGCAGAACCGTGCTCCCTCCGGATAAACCGGAGGAATTCACGATTACCCCGATTGCAGGTACCGAGCTACGAATTCCCGTTTCACGGTGGATGCGTTCGCGGTGGAGGTGCCGCGAAACCCTTAAATTTTCAACAAGTTATTTCAAAAGTTCTCCCCAGAACGTGGCAACACAGATAAAACAAGCGAGCAAGTAGCGGAGAACACAGAAGAGGGATATAAGAAAGAGGAGGAAGCGGTGTAGGCGAGATTAGGGAACCAAGGGTGTGGCGAACGAAAACCGGATGAAATACGGGACTGATCGCGATTGCTTGGCCAGCGGCCTCTCCCGTTGTGGCTCCCGGGTGGTATAGTATGGAAAAGGCAATAGACGCGCTGTGCGTCCTTTGTAGAGAAGCGCGCGAATACACAAAAGCTCTGTGTTCTTAGCTGAGGCAAAGATGGTAGCTCGGCCATATTGTTAGTAAGGAACAGGGACAAAAGGTGGCAAAGGCTAACGAAACAAAGTTCGTCCGAGTACTAGCGAGGGCGCGACCGTATTTAAAGTTTTATTCGAAAACTTTTTAGCGGCATCGCAGCATCCTCCCTGTCGTTGTTCCGGTTCCTCCTGTTCCTGGCCCTACTCCTGGTCCCCGCTCTTGTTTAAAGAGCCGCTTGTTTGCGACCCCAAAAATGAAAGAAAGACCCGAGTTTCGCAAAGTTCCACGTTGGGAACATAACGTGACCCCTGCTTTAACGTTCAAAAATTGTATGGAATACTTCACGAGTTCTCTTCTATCAACAAGGAGGGAGATAGCTAGAATGTACCTGCGCCTGCAAATTAATTGAGCGGATGCCGGTCTCGAAATTTTCATCCCCCTCCATGCTGTTCTGACCTGTTTATTTTTTATCCAGGTTCGCTCGAACGCTCGGTGACGGCGAGGCATCGCCAGGAGCGCAAGTTTCCTCCCTTACGTGGAAATTAATTATTTCTCGCTCCTCTCCTCTCTGTACTATCGTCTTCTGGACTGATATCTAATATCGCATGCTTTTGGAAAATTATTAACGAGTCGCTTCGAAATTTTCACTGAATTCCTGCCGCCCCCTTCCTCTTGCAATCGCGTTCTCTACGACCAACGATTAGTTCTCGTGTAAAATTTAACGCGAGAAATTTTCTTAAGCACGTTGAATCGTCCTATCGAACCATAAATCTTAGCATGTCTGGCGATGCGGAAACACGCCTTGTCTGCTTTAGGAAGTAGAGGGAAACTTGCGACGGTCGTACAATTATACGGTACACGGGAGACAGCTTTGAATATTCCACACGATTATGAGGGGCAGGGGGTTAGAAATAAGTGGCGAGCCGTCTTGTCGACCCTCAACTATCTATAAAGGGTAACGATACGTGTAATGGTATACGAGTCCCGTGTCGGACATGAATCCGTATTGCACCTTCGGTTGATGTGCGCCACGCAAAATTACTATCCAAGCAAAAGTTCCACGACGATCGCCTGCGCTTTAGTCCGCCGCGCCTATTTTCCTTCCACCAGATTAAGTGATAGGTACACTGACCGTAAAACTGCTCGATAAAAGTACGTAAAAAAAAAAAATATACCTTCACATTTTTACTACGCTCTCTTGTCAGACGAAGAGGATAATTCGGTAAACGGAAATACGGCAACAAGAATAACGGACATATTTATGTAATGGTCTCGCTCGAAGTAGCGACGTTCTCATCCCATCGTGGTAATCGAAAAGTTGAGGAAACTGTGGAGACGGAAAAAAGATCGGGAGGTAGTATCGAAACGAGTAAATTCCGGTGAAGTTTCAGGATCAGCGGTAGCGTGCTCGCATCCTTAAAGAAATTCCAGTTTCGAGCGCTTTTCGAGAGGGCGCATTTCGCGTGGACGAACTTTCAAATCCTCGAAGCTCGAGAGGATATCCCTGACCGCGTTCGACCCGTGGAATTTAGAATTCTTTCGTAGACGTACACATGCTGTCTATGTATAACGTAACTAGCGCGAGCAACCGTGATGGTTCTACTTTTCCGACATAATAAGACGCTTTAGATTCCGTGACTCATTTATCCTTTAACTCGTTTGCTATTCCTCCTCTCTGGCCGTGTCGTGAATCAGAAAAATCAGTAAGAAATCCCTTAGAAGAGGGCGTCTCGAAATGATCTCACCGAACAGTTAGAAGGACAAGAAGAGGAACCAGCATCTGGTCTAATATGAATCATCCTCTATTCTTCCTCTCGGTTTGCCGCGATCCGAACGCAACAAGTTGAACTTGGCTGCTTTTCAAAGAAGCCGACCGGAATTTATCAAATCGCCACAATTCCGGCACGCGACTTCCGCTCAGAATTATTCATTACAATAAAAATACTATCGATACGTTGTTTAATCGACTAAGCGAAAGAAAAAATATCGGATGGATTCCTTGGCTACGCATCAAACGGAATGATCACGATACGATCTAGCGCACCAGTGATATTGATTTAAGAGGCAAAGATTGAGATCAGTGGCGACTCGGATATCTCGGCCTCGCGTGATGCGAAATAGTCGCAGAGAAATCGAGTGCATCGAGGCGGAGAATTAGAGGATAGATAAACGAAAAGAAAAAGATACATAATGAGAATAAATAAATAGAAGCGGAAATGTTGTTCGCAAGAATGAACGCGGATAGAGGAAATGAGCGCGCGGAAGAGGGAATTCGGGAACGGAAGGGAAGAAGAGGGAGTTCGCTGGGGTAGATGAGAAAGGTCCTAATCTATTTTCAGGACGACCGAGCACGCCGTCACCAGCAAAAAGGCCGACCACCGTGTGGCCATCCTCGTACAACCCATACTATACGAAAAGGACAGAGAGGCCACCTCCCCCGAACGAGGAGAGGGTCGAGAGGCCAGAGCAGAAGCTACGTGGTGGCCAGAGCACAGGTGAGGCTTGCATTCTCTCATCTGGCCCTCCTCCCTCTCCCCCTTCGTTATTTCTTTCGTACGTTCGTTCGCTCGCTCGTTTATATCGTACACGTCTCTTCTCTCTTTCTATCTATCTCTATCTCTCTCACTCTCCTTCTCACTGTCTATTGTCGCTGTTGTTGTTCCTCGGTTTTGTTCGTCGCGTGCACTACAAACACGATCGCACACGTATCTACTTGTATGTATTTTACTTGCATTCACCCTTCAGTTGTTCCCCTCGAAACGACTAAAATTCTCTGTTATGCGCTACCCTGCACCATGCATCTCGCGTGCACCAGGCCGAATTGATTAAGAGATTAAGAGAGACAGGTTAAACGATGCTTGAGGGAGGCGAGGTTGACACGCAGGAAGAGAGCTTGGCAAGTTTAGAAAGTAGAAAACTTTCGTAGTCGGAAGGCGTGAATCATTTAACTCTGCGCAGCTTCGTTTTAGAAAGTAGATTCGCTTAAGAATGATTAAGTAGCGAACGTCGAGTCAAATCCTCGGTCAACGCTTGAGCGCCGTGCATTCTCTCGTGCGTCTCTCCAAATTGCATCGTTACCCATTTTTTTTTTCCCCCCCCCCGGGATATCTGCTTTCGCGAAACGAGCGTCTTAGGCTAAAGCAGCTCGGCGGCGTCTGAAATTTAAGGGTAACCTCGTTTGCGCTGCATAATGCATCGCGTGTTTACAGGAATCCTTGCGTAGACAAGAATTTAAAGCGTTAAAGGCGTATCGTCGGGTTCGCACGAAAGGAGTGTGGCAAGAAAACAACACCCGCGGCATTCCCGTTCCTCTTTCTCATTTATGCAAATAAGATCATGCCCGGGCTTCTTTATTGTTTTTAAAATAACGCGGCTACGGCGGCAGCGGCAGCAGTGTAATCACGCGCGTGATAATTTGCAGTAAAGTCGACAGAATTTTTGAGGAAATGAAAATTTCACCCTTTCTTTCCATATAGCTGGAAAATTCCACATTGTGAAAGTATCGTCGCTACATCGAGCAATGAAAATTGCGGAGGATCTGACCAATTTTAAATTCAACCACTTATCACTTTTATGAACAATAATATGTTTTAATACTACGATTTATCACGGTGAAGGTAATCATGTTCGCCAGGACATATTCAGAACGCGATATTTCAGACTAGATACACGACAAAATAACCGTTGTTATTACGCGATTGAGCCGTGTTGATGAACAATCCTGGGTCGTTAACGAGATAACGAGCTCCGCTGAAATACTCTGTGAAGTCACTTCATGAATATTTATTTATTAAATTCGAAATAGAACCGTCGACTGACCGAACTTACCCCCCGATAAGACATTTATACATGGTGACCCCGAATTAAACGATCAAACTGCAGTATTATATTTTATGGACATAAGTAAGAACAAAAAATATAGGTCCGCCAATACTATACAAAGAAATTATGATACAAATATGAAACTTAACGTCAATAGGAAATTCGTTGTTGGTACATAGGAATGCAACAATAAGACGACGATATTTATGAAATTTGCTCTTTCCAACAATGCTTACTATAGTATTGTATGCCTTATCTCAACTAATATATCATAAGACAACTACCTTAATATAGAGATATCCTCTGTGTCAATAAATAATGTCAGCCACAGTCCTTAATAACCCGAATAGATCGATTCTGTTGCTCTGCACTCACTGTTCTTCGTTATGCTCTTTGCGATCACGATTCTGTCTTCGTATCGATCGATGCGTTCACCGAAATAGCCTCTGTGCTCAGCTTTGTTAAACCTATGGTCGCTCGAATAATCGTAGCATTCGTAGGAAATGCTAATTTTGTCCGATAAGGCATCCGTTTGATGAGCCGTCGATCGAGTTAAAATATTAAACGTTCCGTAAAAGCTAATCTCTATAGGAACTGTTCTTCCAACGATTCGATCTAATATAACGTGATTTTCCGATTGAATACGCGACGAAGAGAATATCTGTTTGAAGAAAGAGAACAAGTATCGGAAAAGAGTAAAACGGTGCGAGACACCTTTTCGATACAAACGGCTTCGCGCAATTTGTTCACAGAGAGTGATCCGTGAATGCTATTGCACACCATCGATTCGTGTCAATGTAAATGTGAGATGTCTCCTCTTCATTTTTATTCATTAACGAGCCGTTAAGAGGACATGATACGTTTTGGATGAGACTGATAAAAAACAACCGGACGACTTCTCACGGAAATCTGTCAATTAACTAACTTCTTTCACGTGTCAACGACATCGCGTTACGCTGCGCTACTTATGCTTTCGCGCCGCCCCGTTTAGTCGCGATATTTTTGACTACGATCGATAAATGCGCGTGCGCCCCATCACATTCATCGTTTATTGAAACGATATCACCGAGCCGGCCTGCCGCGGTGAAACAATTTGACGCGGAAATGACAAAGATTAATTTTAGAATGCTCCTCATTCTACTGTTCTCCACGTCGGATCGGATATGTCCATTAACTTTTATTACGTTTTGAGATTTTTCATATACTGAAACATTGATCGCTTTAGCCTGATAATAACCAGACCATCCTTTAAAATGAAATCATTGTTCGCAGGATTGTTGAATACGGATTTGCATCATTTTAAAGTAATTGTTGCCTAAATCGGAAGTATTGAAAAACGTTGGAAATTTTATACAAGATTAATGTAATGCAATAAAGTGTATAAAATCCTAATCGATTGACTAGCTTATTTTCAAGATATTTTCAGTCAAATCTCGCAAATTTTACCACAGTTCGTCATTGGAGTAATAGCGTTGGTATATAAATATATATATCTTTTTTCGGCTATTGCAATTGATCAAGTAATGATAAATACTTGAAAAATGTGATGAAACAAATATAGACTATAATAAAGCACGTACATTTTTTTGGAGATTAATGACACCTAGTTACGGAGTAATATTAGTCTGAATGTTATCGTTTTATCATCTTTCACGTTTACTATGAGAAATCCGATAGATGTGGCAACGTTCAGCTTTAACAAATATACACACGAATGTACAATTTTTTTTTTAAAGAGTACTTATTTTTTCATTTTACAAAATAATATAACCAAACTCCATCTTTTTTAATATGTGGATTTTTAACAAACAAGAAGTGTATTTATAGCTCTCTAGCCTTATCTTGACTAATATAGTAGGGCAACAGTTACCTTAAACATTTGTGACTGTCGTCGATTCACTTATACATTTTATTGATAACGTGTCATTCAAATTATACATACGTACGTATGTACATACATACATACGTACATACACATGTACAAACACACATTAATATGTATGTACAGAGAAGTTATGTATAGATAGTATGATCTGACTATGATGATCTGATTCTTCTACAACGGAAACGCCACGAACGAACGTGACCAACTGTACAACGCGGCCAGCGACATTTAGACTACAGTGTTCCCGAAGGAGATTTGAAAATGCATCCGGAATTTTACGCGAAACCGATGACGTCTTGTGGAAAAGCGACGGAAACGTGCGAAAGCTCAGGCGATAGCCGGCAAGCACGTACTCTCGCTTTGGCCAAGTGCGAGCCACGATTGCCGGATGTATAGTATTTTCCAAACTACCATGACTTGTGAAAATCACGAAAAAGTAATGTTCGGTGAACAAGACTGGAAAGATTGTTATCGCATAAAGTATCGACAGATATATAAACTTTGAATATCTCGGTCGTTGGAAGGAATATACGATTCTCGTAAATGAATAATTTATACTTGTTTCTGTCGATTGCACGTACGAAGAAACACAATGTTTAAATGATAAATTAGATGAAATGAAATTGTGAACTCTGACATGTATACAATTCAATAAAATCGATTGTACATGAATAACGGAATTTTTTTAGAGGAGTTATATTTATGTGTCACAATAATTGATAGCGACGCGTTTCGTTCTCAGAGCCGGAGAATCTCTAAATAAATGTCGGGATCAGTAGGCTACTTAGAACGCACTTTGACGTCGATATCACGACTCTATTCGTCAAGCTGAATAATTGCCAGCATTGTAAGTGGTACCGAGTCACACATTTGTCTCGTCTATCAATTATCCGACTTAAGCAAACTGTTCTCCACAACTTCACTCGTATCGTAATAGACGTGTGTATAATCAATTTTAAGTAATGTAGATATGATTGAACGGATCCGAGAGCTTCTTCAATGATCAAAGCTCGCTTTAGGAATTTGAGGAACGTCACGTCGTGGTTACCGTATTTCTGAAATATGCATAGGCATCCCTTATTGTTACTACGTTTAGTAGGAAATTACGTAGGAACAACACGCGTCGCCTGTATAACGTGTGCCGTTAATATTAACTACACCCCTCCAAAGGCGGAATTATCCTAAAGATAGTGGAGCCATGCCTTCGCCACCTGCTGGTGAATTGCCTGCTTTTAGCCTGCCAGTGTGCGTGCACGGAAATCGCTAATTTCGAATTCGGGAATACACGTGAAACCCAGTTTGAAATAGAACAAAGTTTTTTTTATTTCTCTCGAAATAATTGATCGTCACATGTCTTAAATAAAACTAAACGTACTTCCACGTTCCCATTCGAGGAATACATTTATAAACAGAAGATAAACGAAATTGATGATAAGACGATGCCAGTGAAATACACAGACAGCAGAGGAGCAAGGAATTAGCAAATCTCAGGATCCGTTTGCACGCGAGGAATACCTTTGAATCGCAACGTACCGTGCTAACGGATTTTAAGTAACTTGTTCGAGATCGACCAATGGAACGAGCAGTGCGAATATTCCTTGCGTAAAACGGTAGTAAGGGTGAAGAGCGTATCGGAAGTAATCCAGCCACTCGGAGGTTAGTCGTTCGGAAACAATGCGCGAAGAGATCGCACCTTTAAACAACGCGATTAAATTTTATTTGAACGTTTCTTCGTTCGGAAATCCTACAGCGGATCATTCTCACCTTCGCCTAGGAGGAATTGTTCTT